CCTGTTTCATATTTATGTATATGGGGGACCCTATACCTAGGGACTACAGACGTATCCAAGAAATAATGCTCAGATAGCGTGAGGAACTGATGTGATATACTAAGTGACATATAAATCCGAACACCCAGTTTAAATGGTTTTATTTTAATAAAATTTTGTATAAATACTTAATGAAGCATAATAAGTAAATGATAAAAATTTCAAAATGATTGTACTGCTTTAAAGCCCTTTGACCTTTAATAATATGTGGATGCACCCTGATGTGCTACGCATTCTCCAACGCGTCTAGGCATGCTTCTGATCAGGTGGTCAATGTCCTCCTGTGGTATCTCATTCTAGGCAACCACCAACTCCTCTCGAAGTGCTTCTAGAGTCTGAAGAGGACGTTGCAAATTGAGCAATCTCGTACCCATCATATCCCACACGTGCTCAATTGGGGATAAGTCGGGAGATCTTAGTGGCCATGGTAACAATGTGACATCATTATGTTGAAAGAAGTCTATTGTGACTCTTGCAACATCTGGTCGGGCATTATCTTGTTGGAAAGTTGGATCTGCCAGGGTGTCAAGATAGGGTAAAAGATGGGGTTCTAGAACTTCGTGGATATAACGCTGCGCGTTCATGTTACCTCTGATGAAGATTAAAGGAGACCTGGAACCATAAGCTATAGCACCCCAAACCATAACTCCAACAGTGTGATGAACATGTCTTTCAACAAAAAACTGTGGATTCCTCCTTTCACCACGTCGCTTTCTAACCCTTACAACCGACGTAATCACCTTGAGTGGTGCAGACAACGGTCACTCTGGGATCAGGAATGGAACAGTATTGTCTTTAGTGACGAGTCTCGATTTTGTTTAGGCATGCACGATGGTCGTGCCAGGGTTAGAAGGCGACGTGGTGAATGGAGGAGTCCACAGTTTTTTGTTGAAAGACATGTTCATCACACTGTTGGAGTTATGGTTTGGGGTGCTATAGCTTATGGTTCCAGGTCACCTTTAATCTTCATCAGAGGTAACATGAACGCGCAGCGTTATATCCACGAAGTTCTAGAACCCCATCTTTTACCCTATCTTGACACCCTGGCAGATCCAACTTTCCAACAAGATAATGCCCGACCAGATGTTGCAAGAGTCACAATAGACTTCTTTCAACATAATGATGTCACATTGTTACCATGGCCACAAAGATCTCCCAACTTATCCCCAATTGAGCACGTGTGGGATATGATGGGTAGGAGATTGCTCAATTTGCAACGTCCTCCTCAGACTCTAGAAGCACTTCGAGAGGAGTTGGTGGTTGCCTAGATTGAGATACCACAGGAGGACATTGACCACCTGATCAGAAGCATGCCTAGGCGCGTTGGAGAATGCGTAGCACATCAGGGTGCATCCACACATTATTAAAGGTCAAAGGGCTTTAAAGCAGTGCAATCATTTTGAAATTTTTATCATTTACTTATTATGCTTCATTAAGTACTTATACAGAATTTTATTAAAATAAAACCATTTAAACTGGGTGTTCGGATTTATATGTCACTTAGTATAGTTCTAGGTCAACTAAATATACTAAGTGACATAGAAAAAAGAACACCCAGTAGTAATGGATTTGTTACAAAGATTTCCCAAAAGGAAATCGGTTATCTGATAAGCATAAGACAACGTGGGGGTCTCAAAAATTATTATACTTTTATACATTTTTTCAAGGGGTTGCATATTTCTGAAATTATATATAATTGTCTCTGAAAGTTGTAATAAATTATGGCGCGAAAATGTTCTCGGTTGAGTTCCATTTTTCTAATGACACTTAAAAATTCACTGTAGTGAGAACACTGCACGTATTGTTGTGAAACTTTGAATTTAAGTTTACTAAAGAGTGAGGTTAAGATTCAGTACTGACGTTCGATGCGCGCGGCCTACAGTAAGATCAAACAAACCTAAAACAGGCATCGGGTCAAGTCGAAAAGGTCCATAGAATATATTCATAGCCCCAGTTTCTTGTCAACGTTGCCACATAGAAGTTTCTCCCCTGCCCTACCGACAGTACCGACTATCTGGCAACGTTGCTACAAACCTCGCCATTCGCCAGCTGCGGCAGCTACTCATCAGTCAGACCGCGATGCAGGTACGTCAGGAGGGGCGTGTCTCGAAAATACTTCCAATCAAACTTGAGTTTCAAAGGCAAATCCACGAAGAAACCTATGATGTATCAAATACGTCTGTGATAGATATTCTGAGTATTTTAAGCACTTTGTGATAAACAAATACACGAAAGAGCAAATGAACCATGTGAATGACAACACCCTTATTTCCAATGTTTTGAACACGGAGAGAAAAGTGCACAGAAGAATTACTTGGTTCTATTTCCGAAAGCATGGCAAAGGTGGTGACCTCCTTCTAACTGTTTTATGTAACTTTCCAGGAGAAAAAGTCTTATGTAATATGGAGTTTTGAATGTGACATTTTTTCAAAGAAAAATGCTGACGAATGCATATGTCTTTTTTTAACACCCTGAATATTTTCGGGTAAAATGATAGTCACTTTTTTCTGATTCCAAATATGTATTATGATTTGTGCTACTTGTCCCCATAAGTTTGACCAAAGACTTTCAGTTTGTGTGTCATTTACGGTATACGGTGTAAATTTCAAGTTTTTGATTTAGTAATACAAACAGATTCAACAAGCTATGTACGAGCCCCTTCCCACTTCAGTTGGCCCACTTCAAGATTTGTACCAAAATATCCTTTATAAACTAAACATGACGAAACTACCTGCATTTACTTCTAAAACAATTTATTTTCTCAAAAACATTTTATATACACTCTAGTCAAAAAAATACATATTTGGAATCACTTAGATCTATAACTAATAGAACATCTAAACTAACAAACAATGTGCGAATAAATGCGCGAAGTTAACAAAGCAACAATTGATAGACTGCCATTGGGTAACATCTTTATTTTTTATTACGGCTGAAATTCTTTGGGGCATAGCGTTGACCAAGTTTTGGCAAAAATTTGGTGTAAAACAATCCCATATTTCTTGAAGCTTTTGTCTCAGTTCGGTGATTGTACGAGCAGGATGTTGTAGAACTTTTTTCATCTCGTGCCACAAAGTTTCAATAGGTGACAGATCTGGACTGCTAGAAACCCATTTCAAAAGTGGTACATTATTTTCTTCCATTCATTTTATAGCCTTTCTTGAGGTATGCCACGCTGCACCATCTTCCTAAAACACAAAATCTTGGCCGGATATCAAAAATTCTTCCATTACTGGTAAAAGTGATTCTTCTAAAATTGCCAAATATTTGTTTGTATCCACATGGCCATCAATAAAATCAATTTTTCCTACTCTTTTTGATGACATACTGCCACAGGCCATAATGGATGCTGGAAATTTCACTTTTCTCTTCAGACAGTCAACATGGAATGCTTCATTTTTTTTGCTAATAACTCTACTGCGACTGTCACCAACACAAACTTCGAATCGGGCCTCATCACTCCATTGTATTGCACACCATTGTTGTGGTGTCCATTGCCTATGTTCTTTAGCCCACCTAAGCCGATTTTTCTTTTGCAGTGGAGTTAATAGTGGCTTTTCTTTGGCCTCAAACAAGTTGTGCCACTTTAGGGTTTTTACTTCACTTTTTTTTATAAGAAAACTTACCTTGCAACTGCTAAATCCCAGTTTGTGGGTCTCTCTATCAGTTGTGGACCTCAAAATTCTCTTTCCAACAGCGTCACTCCACAGAACACTTAATTGTAAATAATTTTCACACCTGTTTTTCACGATTATTCTTCTTAATGCTCTTCGGTCGGCATTTGTGATATTACTTTTTTTCACATATCGTCGCTCAATATTATCTGAACCAGTTACGTTATATCTTCTAACAATATTTCTCACACTTTACCGCGATAAGTCTAACAAAGTTGCAATTTCTGAGTTTGATTTCCCAGAATAAAAAAATTCAATTATCAGTAACCGAATTTTCTCACTAGTAACCTTTCCTCTACCCATTTCGAAAACCTTAACCACCCAAAACTATTTTAAACGTATTCTGACAGCTGTGATTATTAAAAACAATTTTCATGGCTTTTATTTTTCACAGCCACCTATGCGTTATAGACTTATTTTGCATTGAAATGAAAATAGGTTGATAAAGTGGATACCAAATAAAACCCGATGCACGTCATCGATCTGGAGCTGTGCGCTGTTGCCAGAATTGATATGAGCTCTTTACACCGACTGTTAAGTTGTTTTGACATTTTGGATACTTTATACCACTTCACAGTAACTTTTGTTCTGAAAAGAACAACTTTTAATTGGCAAGGCAACGATTCAAAGCTCAAATAGCGCAAAACTCACAAACTAAACAATAAAGAACTAATAGTACGACAAAAGGACAATGGCAACTGATGTCAACAAATGAGAAGTGGCAACCTCACATTTCTCTGCACGGCACTACCAACCGAATCGAGACGGGGAAATTTAAACTTCAAGTAGAAATGTCACATTGAATGTAGTCAACTGTTGGTAACCATGATTTTTATGAATGACATCACCTATGACGTGCATCGGATTTTATTTGGTATCCACTATATGCTGTAATTGCGACGTGTGTCATTTTTTTGCTGCAAATTTGATTAGGGAGTGATAAAGTTGGTGTTTTCTACTATATATTATCAAAATATTAATTGTTAATATTTTAAACCTATAACACCCTGCTACATTTTTATTATTTGTGTTTGATAAGAAAAGAAGATTTCAATAGTTGGGCCAACTGAAGTGGGAAGGGGCTCGTATATTTGGAATTAGATAAAAAGGTGTTATCATTTTCACTCTATAACTTCCATATAGATCTTTTTCTTCTAGAAACTCATATGAAACAGTTAGAGGGGTGTCAGTTTATGGTCAAACAATTACGAACCCTGTAATTGCTACAGTGTAGTCCAATGCACACTATGTAACAATTCAGGAACGCAGCCCTGACATAGCAACAAACTTCAGTCAGTGTCAACCGCCTGCAACTATAGAAAGTAACAAAAATATTTTCAAATGTACGCATTCTGCTGCATCTTGACGATAATACCTCATATCCTACCGGCATTTTCAAATACCACGAACATCAGTACATCTACGAGTGCGGAGAAACCAAAGTCGGAGCATCGCATCGAAAACCAGATTACTGTCGCCGCAAGGGACGTAGCATACTATCTGCGGGCTTACAAATTCAACGAATACGACAGGAGATACGTCACAGATCCAGGCAAAGGGATAAGGTAACAACGCTAATGCTTAGTCAGTTGCGCGTTCAAGTGGCAATCGTATGTGCAATAAGCTGCTTTCACGTCTATTGGGGAAACTGATCATAACGTTAGGGCGGCTTCCGCAGGGAATCACGTGACTTGTTTGATGTCGGGAAATCATGTAATTTTTCTCAAAGAGCCTTCAAAACTTATTTGTTAGATGATGACTTTTTTGCCGGAGGCGAAGTGTATAATGAGGGAATCTAAATTGATCGACGTTCATTCTCAGACTTACTTAGACACGGCGCTGGATGAAATTGAGTTTGCAAAACAATACTTCATGAATGTATATCATCTGAGAAAAGGTCAGAAAAGAATAATCAGAATTTTGATGGACCACTTTTCTCTGAACAAAGTCCTTTTTGAACTATATTTGTCTAAAAAACCCTTAAAACGGTGATTTTAAATAATGTCGAACTGTTTATATAGTGGAATATAGACGTCGTCTTTATTGTAAAATCTGTCTCATATGGAGTCAACTAAGGTCTGGCAAACGTGAAAATATTCCGCCGCCATTACTTCTTAGAGCAAAAATGTCGTCAAGTAGATTAACTCTACGAGCCCCTTCCCACTTCAGTTGGCCCGCTTCAAGATTTGTACCAAAGTATGCCTTTATAAACTAAACATGACGAAACTACGTAACTTCTAAAACAATTTAATGTTAACCAATTTTGGTGTAAAACAATCCCATATTTCTTGAAGCTTTTGTCTCAGTTCGGTGATTGTACGAGCAGGATGTTGTCGTAGAACCTTTTTCATCTCGTGCCACAAAGTTTCAATAGGTGACAGATCTGGACTGCTAGATACCCATTTCAATAGTGGTACATTATTTTCTTCCATCCATTTTATAGCCTTTTTTGAGGTATGGCACGCTGCACCGTCTTGCTGAAACACAAAATCTTGGCCGGATGTCAAACATTCTTCCATCACTGGTAAAAGCGATTCTTCTAAAATTGCCAAATATTTGTTTGTATCCACATTTCCATCAATAAAATGAAGTTTTCATACTCCTTTTGATGACAGACTGTCCCAGACCATAATGGATGCTGGAAATTTCACTTTTCTCTTCAGACAGTCAACATGGAATGCTTATTTTTTTTTGCGAATAACTCTACTACGACTGTCACCAACACAAACTTCGAATCGGGCCTCATCACTCCATTTTATTGCACACCATTGTTGGGGTGTCCATTGTCTATGTTCTTTAGCCCATCTAAGCAGATTTTTCTTTTGCAGTGGAGTTAATAGTGGCTTTTCTTTGGCCTATAAACAAGTTGTGCAACTTTAGGGTTTTTACTTCACTTTTTTGTATAAGAAAACTTACCTTGCAAGTGCTAAATCCCAGTTTGAGGGAATCTCTATGAGCTGTGGACCACGAAATTCTCCTTCCAACAGCGTCACTCCAAAGAGCACTTAATTGTAAATAATTCGCACGCCTGTTTTTCACGATTATTCTTCTTAATGCTCTTCGGTCAGCATTTGTGATATTACTTTTTTTCACATATCGTGGCTTAATATTAACTGATCCGGTTACGTTATATCTTCTAACAATATTTCTCACACTGTACCGCGATAAGTCTAACAAAGTTGCACTTTCTGAGTTTGATTTGCCAGAATTAAAAAATTTAATTATCAGTAACCGAATTTTCTCACTAATAACCTTTCCTCTACCCATTTTGAAAACCTTAACTACCCAAATTATTTTAAACGTATTCTGACAGCTTTGATTAATAAAAACAATTGTCATGGCTTTTATTTTTCACAGCCACCTATGCGTTATAGACTTATTTTGCATTGAAATGAAAGTTGGTGTTTTCTACTATATATCATCAAAATATTCATTGTTAATATTTTAAACCTATATCACCCTGCTATATTTTTATTATTTGTGTTTGATAAGAAAAAAACTAAAATTTCAATAGTTGGGCCAGCTGAAGTGGGAAGGGGCTCGTACACGCCTTGGAAACAACCTCCTGTACAATTTTTTATGTAATGCAATGGCAACAAAAAGAGGCAGGTTCAGTCAGAACCATCAGTGCAAAATTTGGAATTTATCAGGAAACAAATTGCTCCGATTGCAGCAATGTGCGTGTCCGTACACGGTTGCCTCATTTTTTTGAGGCTCTGTCATAAAACTGCTTGTCAACAATGATAACTGGTTATATAATGCTGTTACAATTTTAACCTTGCATTGGATTGTAAAAAGGAAGTGATTAGATTTGCTCAGATATGATTTATTTTAAGAGAAACCAGGGGCTTACCATTAATGTGTGCCAAAATAGGCAGGTGAAATTCCTTGTGGACGCCAGTGGTGGAAATTAAATGATGTATTACTTAAAAAATGCAGCCTCTTGATACATAGTACATATATATTAAATTTCATTGAAATATCTGAAGTGGTATAACAGATAAACACAACAAGCTTTATCTCGAAAACAATGCGTCTGAAAAAAAAAACTCCAAGAGATACAAACTTGCAAAAAACAGCGGCCACAGGTGTAAGTGCTCTAGAAGGTACATCATTTTGTACATTTCAATATAACAAGTATAGATATGCAGCATTTTCGGCTCTATTTTCATATAGTCCGCCTTTCGATTTTCCTGCCAACATTAGGCAACATCCTATACACTGCAGACAGAAAATCGAAGTCATTTTTGCACCTAGAAGAGTATTTTTAAAACGTGTCGATATCTGTAACGGATCTACAGGGGTGGATTGGGGGAGAGCTCACTGGGAGAAAATAAATAGGCAGGAGCGCAATATTTTTTGTACCCATACCTCCTCAATTTTCACATGATCAGTTGCTCTCAGGAGCATGAATCAGCCGCCGCCCCCTGCCCCCAGCTCCTCAATTTTCAATCATCGACACACTGCTTAGATAAGACCTAGCCTCGAGTACTGCTCACATGTTCGGGTGCTGCCGCCTCGACTACATTATCCATGCTTGATGCAGTTCATAGGAGGGCAGTGTGACTGATCGATGACTCTTCTCTTGTGGACAGTCTTGGGACCCTTTCGCACCAGCGAGCCGACGCTTTGCTCCTCAGGGCTCTCTTCCATGATGCCGTCTCGCGATGTGCCTGCCAGACAGACCCGCCTTCCATGGTAACCGAGTCGAACTACGTATCGATATTGTAGAACAATCTACATAAGGAGGGTTTTCCCAGCACTACTAATCTAAGGCAGCTCTAAAATCAGATTAACAAAGTTTCTTTAAACTCCTCATCCTAGCTGCGTTGCCCTGGCATTTAAGCTTCTGCCTGCTCGGCTGCTTCGGTCAAAAAAATACCCTACTCCACAAGCACTGATGCCACCACCCTCTCTCCTCTCTTCAATTTTTAGTAGCCGACGTCCCTCGCTCTCAGAAGTTGCTCCTCCCTCCTTTCTGGGTTACGTCTTAGGCAGAATTCTGCATTCGCGCCCTGGCGCTTGCCCTTATCCGCCCAATCCTTACGAGTGCGTGAAGAGCATACACAAATTTGCTATTAATTGACTGCCACGCGGGATCCGGGTAAACAGGATAATCGCAGCTTAAGGGAGGGATAAGCCTTCTTGACTTTTGGGGATTGGCAGGTGGTGGATATTATTATGCAGGGTGTGAAATGGATCCTTTAACAAGCAAAATTGAGGTTCTTAACGTATGTTGTGCTTACATTCAGTAACCGTAAACGGATAAAGTCGCTGAATAACGCTTTATCGTGTGAACGAATAGACCACACAGTCGAGCAGGTTCATACGCGTTCAAGTCATGAAATTCTAGATCAAGCTCAACTCAAATTTCCTAACACAACACGAAATTGATTTCCTTGATCAGTAAAAACTATCGATCTTAGAAATATAAATGCATCTATTCAATCGACCCATTTTTTCTTCTTCTTCTTCTTTCCTGTCATTACCCAGGATTTTTCTAGGATCTGGTAACACAAGCTTCATGGACCTAGTAACCTAGAAGACTAACTAAAAGTTAAAGTTCTATGTACTGCTGTAATAGACAATGAAAAAAGATTAGGCTAGAAGTATATTTCTTTATATTTTATATTTTGTCCACTTGCCGCGATTTTTGATAAACAAATGCGTTTATCATCTTAATAAAGGGTTGTTCAATAGGGACGCAGGAAAGTAAACGTCAATTTGACATAGACGCTATCTTTGTTTTCTGTCACCGACATGTCATTTTGTTAGTTGAATGTTTACCATTGATCGCTATGGAGTCGTATTCGATTGAAGACCGCATTAAAGTTATTCAAGAGCACTACAAAAATGGTGCAAAAATAAAAAACACGTTTCGCGCGCTTAGTGAACATTTCGGTCGCAACAACCGCCCAAGCGAAACAACCATCGGTCGTCTGGTGCGTAAATTCGAGGCAACAGGTTCTGTGGCAAATCTGCCAGGCTCTGGCCGGCCAAGGAGCGTTCGCACACCGGAAAATATTCCTGTTGTGAAGGAGAGTGTGAGAGACGATCCGAAACAATCAACAACGCGTCGATCCCAAGAATTGGGCATTTCGAGAACCAGTTTGCTCCGCATTCTCCACAAGGATTTGAATGTACACGCCTACAAGATCCAATTGACGCAAGAGCTGCGTCGGGCCGAACGTTCTCAGATTGGCTCCTTGAACACCGCCAAATTGATGCCAATTTTTCATCAAAAATCATGTTCAGCAACGAAGCGCATTTCACTTTGAATGGGACGGTAAACAAGCAAAACTGCCGCATCTGGGCGAACGAAAATCCCCGTGAGTATCAAGAGCAGCCGATGCATCCTCAAAAAGTGACTGTGTGGTGTGCATTGTGGTCAAAAGGCATCATCGGACCTTACTTTTTCGAAAATGCGACCGGGGACGCCGTTACCGTCAATTCTGAGCGATATCACGTGATGATAGAGGACTATTTTTTGCCGCAACTTGGAGGAATGGATATGGACGATGTTTATTTCCAACAAGACGGTGCAACATGCCACACAATCAACGTCAATATCCATCGATTGCAGTCCTCCTTCGGTGATCGCGTGATTTCGCGCAGGGAATATGTGCCATGGCCACCAAGATCGTGCGATTTGACTCCTTTGGACTTCTTTTTATGGGGATATTTGAAAAGCAAAGTCTACGCCAACAAACCAGCCACCCTCCAAGAACTCAAAAACAACATCATTGCCGAGATAAATGCCATAGAACCGACCATGTTGCAAAATGTCATTGAAAATTTCGACCATCGCGTGGACGTCTGTAAATCGAGTCGTGGTGAACATTTGAGCGGTATTATTTTTCATACATAAATGGTATAAATGAACCTTCAAAATAAAGTACCCAACTTGATTTGAATATCAATCTTTCTTGTTTTAATATGCGTTTACTTTCCTCCGTTTTGGAAAACCCCATAGATTTTTGAATATTTTAAATTAGCCGTAGGTTGTAGAGTACGAAGAATTGACAATTCCAATACAATTGTATATTGTCTATCTGGAAATAAAGGTAATGATTGAAGGATATTTTATTTAACATCGTTGACTCATCTTGATGCGTGCTTTTACTTTCCCCGCCTACTGGAAGGAAGTATTGCAATCGCAATATATCATGAAGAGCCATGTCAATCAGTTCCGTCAGTCTTTCTGACACAAGCTTGCACTGTGTAGTTTCTGAAAATCGGTCCAGTAGCGAGTGAGCTTCGGGGCAAAAAACAACAAATGAAAATGGCTCACTCTTCGATTTTCGACTTTGAAAATTATTTTTCAGGGTCTAGGGATTTTAGGTTGTAAGATGTGGGAGAGGATATATCGCAATCTTTTTATGTTTTTTGAACCTCGGTCACTGTATGCACCTATTAAAAAATCTTTGCCTGATGGACGGTATTACCGTTAAAGCAAGGAAGGAATGGACTAATTGTATTGGTCCTTTTGACTGTAAGCACCTTTTACCCAGAGCGTATAACTTATGCTAGACATAACCATTAAGTAACTAATGACGGCGTTGCTTGGGAAGTGTAGAGTCAACCCACTTGATGCCACTTTTTAGTCATACATTTTTTCAGTTATTCCATAAGCACCTACTGCTGCCTTGTCTTTGTTGGTTTTATGTATCAAAGGGCAGGTCTTAGTGTTTGACATAAGTATTTCTCTTTCCTTGATATCCTGATTTGCATTCCTTGTTGTCTCTGCTCTCAGAGAGTATTATAAGAAGTTTCCCAAACCTCCATTAAGAAGCTTGCACTGGGAAGTTGCTAGATACTGTGAAGTGTCTTTCCACGAATGCATTGACTATCTTGGGAAGAAGGTGAAGCACACTGGTTCAAAGAGAAGCGATGATACATGTGTTGTTATTGATGAAAACAACTGGAGGACAGAAGTAAGTTATTCTACCTATCCATCACGAACTATTTGTTACGCGAGACATTTTTAATGTAAGAACCGACCAGCATCTTACTATGACGCCATTACGTTTCGCGTTTTTGTTGGTGTTGATTTTGTGGTTATACTGCTTTGTTCGTGAACATGTCAATCAGCAATCCCAACGATTGTGAAGTGGGCTCAGTAATTCGATTCTGAAACGCAGAAAAGCTGTCTTTCTGGAATTCGTACACAGCTTGCCGAATTATGCGTACTGTTCTGCTATTCAAAACCGCCTGCTTGTTCTGCTTCACGACAACGCTCGGCCTCAGGTTGCGGCAAAAACACAGACACAACTGGACAAGCTTCGTTGCGAATTACCGGATCATCCACCGTACAGCCCTGATTTATCACCATTAGACTTTTATCTTTTTCTACAACTTAAGGAATTTATTGGTGGAGTGCGTTTGAAAGTTCATAACATGCTGAAAGAAACTGCAGCTAACTTTTTTACGGTTAGCCGGCAGACTTCTTTGACGATGGAAGCCAAAAGCTGGTACAGCAGCTTGAAAAATGTTTGAAGATTCATTTTAAAGAACACTAAATTTTTTCATTCATAAATAACATTTATCTGACTCGATTACAACAAAGTTTCAAAATGACCCTCGTGTATGCCACTCTCATGGATATGGATAGCCTCAAGAAGAAACGCTGAAAAAATTGTACCTTCTACTGTTTCCTTTTTTGGTAAATTGTGAAGGTTGCACCCGCATATGACTCCTTTTCCTTTTAGTGAAATCAAACGTACTGAATAATAATTATTTTCATTCAGAACCATTCAGTTCAAATCAACACAGTGGACGAAGAGTGTAAGAGGATGAGGAAGGTCGATGATATGGTGGCAGATCCTTTTGAAGGTGAGACTAAAAATGTTCACAGATGACAAATAAGTAAAAAGCTTCACATTTTGAAATGTGAAGATATTTTCTATTATTACAATATTGCCACCAAGTTGCTGCTACTGTAAAATCGAAAACTTCGATGCGCTCACATGATGCTTTGACCACCACAGTGACCATTTTCTAGTAAAATGACAACCTATAACAATATATTTATACTCAGTAACATTACAAGTGTTTCATACACAAAAAAAATTCTTCAATTTGATTTGTTGGCAATGAGGCGACCTCGCTGCTGAATATACTCCTGTATACGTCTAGGCATCTACAAAATAAGATGATCGATGTCTGGTTGTGGCGCCTCATTCCAAGTAGCTTGGTGCAAAGTGGATAGTCTCCTCCACATCATATCAACACATGTTCGATGGGGCTTAAATCCAGTGAACGGAGTGGCCACAGCAAAACATTAACGCCTGCTTTTTGCAGACAGTTCGTAGTACGATGAGCAGTATGGGGACGTACGTTGTTGGAAAAGGACGTGTGAACGCCCCTCTAGATACGGCAGTAAAGTGGTTTGTAGAACATCATCAACATAACGCGCAGCGTTACACCAGCAGTGCTGTGTACATGCCTCTCAATAGTAAATCCAATATCCCACCGTTCTCCACAGCGGCGTCTTACCCATCTACGACCAGCATGCGTACCTAGACAGATTCGTCACTGAAGATCACATTATACCATTCTGCCTGCCAATGTTGCCGTTCTCTACTCCGGTCCAAACGTTGACGACAGTAGTCCGGAGTCAGAGTAAGCACTTCCTGGGGGAAAAACAAGTTTAAGAAATTATTTTTTCTAGGTATAACACTTCTGTGTCACTGGGTATAGTCACCATGGTGAGCGCAATGTTGTACAATAAACAGTAAGTTAGAGTTAGTGACAAGACAATAAAGTCCTATGATTATTGGTTGTTTCTGGAATCCGTCTAGTCGTCTTCCATCACCAAATCAATTTTGAAGTGACGAAATCAATAAAGTGATCACTTTTGTTGAAAATAGGTCCATTAGAGCGGTTCCAGTGGCGTACCACTGCCAGTTACTACATGTGCATGTACACGATGCTACAAACAAAGGAGCTACGTCAACTACATGACGAAACATGCGACAACTACGCAAACTGTCTAGAAGGATGTGATAACAACGATCCTAGGTAAAACTTATACTCACTGCGCTATATATAATCAAAGCATTATAATAAGGGAATGACCTGAAGCTTCATTAAATCATGACCTCTGAGGTGTTTACAGCATAGTGTCCAATTCGATTGGTTTCTATCAACAAGACACCACAGCTATGAGACAGAACCTTGCATCTAGCAAGCCTTTCTTTCTATCCGTCACAGTAGGTCTGCCAGGTCTGAAAGAGAAGGAGAGGAAGGAAGAGAAAGAGCAAAGAGAGGCGGAAGTGGGTTAGTTAGAGAGGTGCCTTGGCATTGTAAACTAGTCTTTGGAAATTTTAACATTCTGCACCAAGATTCAAAAATTAATGTTTGGTTCGCTTATTGTGGTCAAAATGTTAATCTTATGTGGTTCTTAAAGTGCACGTTTTAGTTCCGCGAGTGTGGTCTTATGCGCCTGCATGCAACGGAGAGTTACTGTGCAATCCGGAATGACTATAACATTTGAAGTAGTACCTATAAACCGCCTAGCAAACATGTGAGGGTTGACTGTGATCTATACCCACAAGCAACTACGTTTCCACCTTTCTTTTAATTTCGTGTTTCACCCAAAAAACCAATTCCTTCTTTTGTAGAGCGGATGACACCAAACCCTTTGCGTGTGCACTCTACAGTTTTTGCCCCGATCCCTGCTGTTCCAACAAACACCTCAACAGTCCCGAAGAATGTTGGAACAATCCAGACAATCCGTGTTCCAGGGAGAACGAACCAGGTCCTCACAGAAAATGCTCCATAGTCTTAGATCGAAATACAGATTTCAGGTTCGTAGATCCAAACTTGCTCAATCTGTTCTACTTAGAGCTGATAGTCATTTAAGTACAGGTACCGGTTAAATGAATATTGACATTTCCGGTCATGCGTATTCTAAAGCTGACGTTGGTCATATTTGAATCATGCTGCGCTAACTAGGAAAGTGGACGTCATATAATCGCGTTGTTCTGTGCGTTAAGAAAACTGTGTGCTAAGAGATAGCGAAACACCAACATGTTTACCTCATGCGCAGTGGACTCAGCTGGCGTCCAGCGTAACCCTATTGAGTGGCCACGATGCAGATAGGGTGTCGAAACGGTTTTATTGGCTATCCATATAGTTTCGAGTCGATCGTACCGAATCGTCCAAAAATAAAACGCGGGCGGGCGGTCGATGACCTGGCTCCGTTCTACCACTGTGCTTACGGAATATGCCCTTCAGACACCTTATCTGTGAAACTGCTGCGTGTTTGGCCTACCAGGTGGACCCGTTAGGCTTCTGCAACCAATCCATCTCTGTCGAACGTGCTAGTGATGACATCTGCCCACTCAATGCTAGGTTTTCAAGATTGTGCAACAATTTACCTGAGCGGGCTTTAAGCTCATGGCAGTCGCTGTGCCTTGGTATGTAGGTCTACGCGGCTGGACTAGCATGTGAATCTCCAATTGCCAAAGAAATACTTGAGTGCCACTCCTACCAATGCTAAATGCTCTATAGCCCCTGGGACCCCTTCAGTCGAAGGCCCAGATACATGGTATGCACAGGAGCTCCTATTATGGTCTCGTTTCTTGGCACAGGGAGTTGCAAGCGTAAAACGATTGTCTGATCTTCAAGAAACTAAAGAATCCCAGCGCTTGATTAATCAAAGATGGCGTCGCAAGAAACGCGTAAACTGTCATCATTAAGCTAATTGAAGTACTAAGATGAAGACATAAGATAAAAAAAAACTAAAAGAGCACCATTCATTACTAATGTTCCAATTATTATAGAGCGTGCTACTATATCCGGATACTGACAGTATGATTTCCTTGAAGGTCTTATCGGCTGCACGAGAGCTCTTCGTCCCTCGGCGTGCACAAAAAAGACGAAAACCGCCCTAAATCCCCAAATCCATTCTCTTGGAAACGCGTAAGCGCTAATAATTTAGATTTTGTCTGGGGACAGGTAATTCTCTTTCTTGTCGGGAAAGAAGCGTATTTTCACACCACCACCCGGATGATAACACGAGATTCTGCTCCTTACATCTGCGACAAAGTGTTACAGTGTCTGCGGGGTTTAATAACTTTAAAAGTTGCAGCCAAGTCTAGCATTCTCATAAAACTTATAACTTAGTTCCGTTGCCAGTTTGTCACCGTTCTCCTACTGTATAGACCTATAGACATGTTTTTTTTATTCGCTGTCGTTTTGTTTTGATATTGGTGAGACGTTAGATTCTTTTTCATCGTTTCAGAGCGGTCTATTACTTCGCTAGTATGGAGAGAAGATGTGGTAACCGCTTCTTCTACATAACTGGTAAAATGCGAGCTATAACGGAAGTAAATCGGTGATTAGTAAATTATACAAGGTGGGCCATTTAAAGTGGAAGCATCAAGCAACCCTATACCTTTGACATTAATTGTCAGATCGACTAATTCATACCGCGTTGGAAGCGTCATTTCGGACGCATAATTCGTGAGGATTTGAAGATGTTTCCATACAAAATTCAAATGGGTCATCAATTGAACCCAGCTGATTATCCGTGTCGCTTTGATTTTGCTAAATGGAGCATTGAAATGGCCTTTTGACGAAAAATCATCATGTCCGACGAGGCACATTTTTCGTTACATGGAGGCGTAAGTAAACATACTTGTTGGTTTTATGCTACCAAAAAACCACATTTAATCGAACAGCAGCCTATTTATGACCAAAAAGCTACTGTTTGGTGCGGTATGTGCGCGAATATGGTCATGGTATTTTTTTGAAGACGATGATGGAGCTGCGGTAACCGTCAATGGTCAGCGTTATCGAGCCATGATATGAAACAGCAATTCAAATGGTAGTAGAAGAATGGAGGCGAAACATGGATGAAAAAAAGTTTACAGTAACATTGTTCTTAAATTTCAAGAGAGCATTTGAGACTATTGACAGGGAGAAATTGTTAACGATTGCTATGGATTTCAAGGTTAAGTATACAACTTATTACAAAATTACTTAATCAATTGAAGTCAAATATCTTAAACTCGGTAGGTGTACCACAGGGTAGCAAATTAGGTCCATTACTATTTATTTTATATATTAACGATATTCCTGATATTTTACAACACTGCAAAATTCAACTATTTGCTGATGATACATTAATATATATATATATATATATATATCTAGACGACAATGACCACGTCTCAAGTTATATATATATATATACATCCCACTAACTCCGTGGCGTCCATACATTGCCGATTTGCTATCTTGCAAGCGTCCGACTTCAACCGAGCGTCCGTATATGGACGCCCGGTTGATTTCCCATAGATTTTGTATCCAAAGTGTGTTTAGAATCGTCCATTAAAATTTTGTACGGGCGCCCGGATAATACCACAACCTGCTTTTTTATATAGTAGTGGTATATTATAAGTTGAACGCTTTCGCCTATAGAGGCGCATGATACGACTGTTGAATATTTTGGCAAGTATATTATACTTTTAACCTGTCGATTTCTAAGCGTCCACCCTAAATTTCAAATATTGACAACACAGCATTCCCTTTAATTCTATTTTTAGGTTTCTTTCCGACCACCTGCTAATAACCGACTGGCATTATTTGTTCTGCATTCGTTTTTAAGATTTGATTGTGGGTATATTATACTTTTAGCCTATCGATTTCCAAGCGTCCATCCTAAACTCGCTGTGTCTTATGATGCAGTGTTCCATTTAGTTCTATTTCCTATTTCGGGTTTCCTTTCGAACATGTGCTAATTAATTGTTTCTCAATCGGTTTCAAGGTTTTATTGTGGGTAAGTATGAAAATATTTATTTATTGTATATGTAATTAATATTAGTGAAATTCCTAACAAATATTCTCAATATTTCTGTTACTTTTCTGGGATTAACATTCAGATAATGAAACTAACCTCATTTTGTTGGAACGTTTTGCCGTTTCGCGGCAGATTTTTCAGCTATAAAATTTAATATATTTTCTTACGGTTTAGAAACAATTTACAAAAATAAAACACAAACGTTCTAAAGACCTCAATATACACTTATACTTTAATATATTTATTTATATTGTAAATAATCATATGATTAAATATTAAAAAAGTGTTTTCTAACCGGCTATTTATACATGTCATTACGCAGGCCTAAGGCCTAAACACCGTGGGTGCCGTGAGACTACAGTGGAAAGGGGAAACGTCACACGTACTCTAATGAGGGAGCATGCGTACACATTCAGGCCCCACCTAAGAGAACCGAGGGTGGTGCCTCAACGACGACGATCAATGACCGTCTACCACCTATCAAGATCAGAAGAGTCCACTTGTATTTTAGCTTTCTTCAGCATCAACTTAATCTTAACTTCCTCGCAGATCATTTCCTCTTTTTATCTGGGAAAAGTTCGAATCCATCATGGCGTGTATCTGAATCTGGTGCTTCGCCCTCTGCTGGACAAGTACCTTTTTTTCACAGCATTCTCGTGGGTGTTCACATTCTTTCTCAACAATTTCTATTATCTCAGAGGTTCCAATTATAACCTCTGGTGTGTTCTTATTTGTCTTAATGGCTACCTCAACATTATGCTTCGTCCAATTCGTCATAGTATTTATATCTTGAGGAAATAGTGTACAAAGGAGAGATATACCTGTTAAAGTGACAACTGAAACTATGATTGTCACAATGCTAAAGGTTCCGTGTATATTTTCTTGAATCGTTTTTTCTTTGACTTTCTTGCTAGTGAGACATTGCCGTTTGGGTCTACGGCCTAAGCGGTACCTTCAGGTATAGTTATGAAGGGTTTTCAACATCAATGGCCCTGTTTTTGACACTTGATCCATGGAGCTTGTCAGTGTCGGGGAGCTTTGCGAGGCTTCATGGCGGGCACTGTCGGTTTCCTCAATAGCACTCTTAATGTGTTCGAACTAACATCCGAACCACTTTAGTTGATGATTGGTAAACTCATAATAACTTTAAAATGGATAAATACAGAGAATTTTTCAGTACTTTGAAGATATTCACTTTGACATTGACAGTACCAATTCATTCTTGGTTTATTCAGTAAAGGATAGGAAGTCAATAATTAATTTTCTGGGTATGTCATTAATTAGACTGAAAAATGTTCCTAACATTAAAACAAAATGCTGCACGAAAGCTAATTGATCATCAGGATACTAAATTTCACTTCTCAGGTAATAAAAAGTGTAATGCTCGGTCTTATTGATCACATACATCCCCAATTATAAATATTTTTTCGACCGATTGAGCGATATTTAGAAGTCGTGCCGTCAGTTTGAATGCAATGTTTCATAATGTCTCCTTAAAAATATGCTAATGGAAGATAAATACTATAGAATACTATAGAACTGGCCAAACAGAGATTAAAAACTTTTTTGAATAAAGAAAATCCCAATCAAATAACAACGTGTCAAACTACTCTTCCAATTTTATTGATTCTAGCTGTATTCATTGCTTTGGTAATTTCAGATAATATGGACAGAAAAACAAAAATTATGTTGAATGCACTCAATATAAAGGACAGGAGTTGCATTGATTTCCTGAAAGTTCCTAAATATGAACGACTTGGAACCACCCAGAACGAACAAGATTTGTGCATTCAAAGTAAGTTCTGAATAAGTTTTTTCATAAATAAAACCGAGTTATTGTAAGTAGCCGTTGACTGTACAGGGTTACTGATTAGAAATTGTGCACGTCTCTTTTTTCATTGTTTGAAATACAAATTTACATTTTTTACCAATTGCAAGGAAAATAGCGTATTTTTATAAAAATAGCGGACATATAACAAGGTTTCGCAAGAGACTGGGATACAACTATGTTAGGTTTTTTTTGTTTGATTTCGTGACAGATTTTACATACTTTTTGGAACATACTGTTGGTCTATTTGAATTCTTTTTGAATTAAGGGCATTTGAAAGGTGATATTTCTGGGCACTTTGAATCCTCACAACGCCTGAACAGTTTGACTTCGAGCAGAATAACATCCGGTCTAGTTTTTGATAAGCTTTCACCTATAATAATGAGTGAAACAAAAGTAATGATACATACTTCGTTTTATGGCATTTTTATTTTGCTCTAACAATAAGATTGTTGAGGGGTTATGAGGATTTAGAGTACCAAAACTGTTATTTATCAAATGTCGATGATTTAAAAACAATTGAAGATAGACCTGCGGTATGCTTAATGATAAATATTTCAAATTCCTCACATAATCCAAACATTGTGTAATATATAGGCAGTTCCATTGAAAAAATTATTACGGCTTTTTGGGGAATTCTGTATAACACTTTTTCTATCTTTACAAAAATACATTGTTTACTTTTAAAAACTACGGTACATAATTTACTTCTGTGTCTCAAGAAATTTTAGTGAGGTCAAATTATTCATTGACATTCAAGTTTGGAAAATAACTGGAAGTAGTAATTTATGAATTATTTGCGAAACTTTGATTTAATCAATAGCCCTAGAACTCTTTAATTGAAAAGCAAATTTTGTAAAATTGTTGATTAAAATTATATTAAAGAATGAACAGATATATTAAAGAATGAACAAATTGTTTTGGGCAAATAGATAAAGTCACTAAAACTTGGTTCAAGCAATACTTTTGGCTGCAGAAATATCTTGGATAGCCACTGCATTGTCGGTACTGAAAAGACTTAATTTAAAAAAATTATAACATTAAACATTTTACTTCACAGGATCCCAAGAACTATTTGGGAACGTAACAAGTCAAACAAGAACACCTGCTATAAAAATTCAATACTCCAGCATATCCTCCACCGAAAAGGTGTATAACACAAGACTACAGAAGGTTAAAAAAAATCTCTTTGAAGAAGAAATACCTATAAGTCCGCAAGAACACTTTAGAAACCTCCAGTCTGGTGGAATATCACCTACAATTGATGTAGTATCTACTAGTGATGAACATTTTGATGCTCATGGTAGTAGTAGTAGTGAGCATGCTTCAGAAGAAAATGAAGCTTATAGTAGTGGTACTGAATACATTCCAGATACTCCCTCGGTTTCATCAGATTCTGGGAGCGAACCTGGCAACAGTTTTATCCAAAAAGACGACCATTTATGTAATAAACAGGTATATTGTGATGCCAGTTAATTATAAATCTTACAACCCCGTAAGTCACAAATAATATTGATACACCAGGTGCTTTAGAATACTATCTGAAATGAACAAAATATAATTTATAAAGAGCGGTTTTTGTGAGAGGAGCTTAATGCAACATGCCCTGCTACAATTTTGAGTATATTATAGAGAGATCGAAATTTTCATATGTTTGGCGCTATGATCGTTGTTTTGTCCAATAAAATGTGAGTTTTGAAGGTTAAAAAAAGCTATAATAAATGTTTTGTTTCCAGGAAGAAATATCTGATCCATATACTGAAAAAGTTACATTTTCGGGCCGCACTGTTGAACCAATTCTGCCATCAGAAGAAAACCCTTCCAATAATTTTGGGATATATAAACAGGATGGTGAAATGCGCAAGGGAAAGAAAAAGACAGATTTCTGTTTCTTTTGCGAGACTCCAGTGTTAAATTTTGCCAGACATATAACACGCAACCACCCATCAGAAATCGAAGTCCAAGAAATTCTGCTACATCCAACTCGTAGTATAGTAAGAAAACAGCTCTTGGACCGTTTAAGAAAAAAGGGAAACTATATAAATAGTAGTGTCGCGTGTAAGCCAGTCCAAAGTTTGCGCTCAGCAAAAGATCTTTTGCCTTGCGATAATTGCCTTGGTTTTTACTCTAGAAAATTGTTATGGAGGCACAAAATTAAATGTACTGGATCAAAGAGCACACGTGCTCAGGTGTCTGCCCAAAATTTATTGGTATCTAGCTTGAGAATTGATCTAAATTTGAAAAAGACGGTTTTTCCCAGGATGAGAGCGGATGAAATATCTCTCGTTGCAAAAAGAGATCCACTTATTTGTGCTTATGGAGCAAGGTACATGAAAATTCACCGAGAAAAGCATTTCATCAACGTAACATCTAGGAAAATGCGAGAAATTGCTCGATTTTTAATCGAAATAGAAAAAATGGAGCCAAATATTCATTGTCTCTTTGATGCTCTGAAACCTAAATATTTTGATACAATTGTTGCTGCAACAAAAGCAGTGGCAAAATATGACGTAGAAAAGGATAAATTTGAATCACCAACCTACGCTATGAATATGGGCACGAATCTGAAGCAATGTGCGGAGATAGCTATTATATTTGCTCTGAAAAGGAAACAAATCGCCTTAACAGTTTCATCTGCTGAAGCAGAGGCAGATTTAAAAACTTTGATAAAAGTCATTGAGTCACAATGGCAATATGAGATTTCTAGCCAGGCCGCCAGTGATATAAATATTAACAAGTGGAATAAAGTTACCCTAGTGCCACTTGCCAGTGACTTAAAACTGTTCAAGGAATTTTTGATAACGACGGCAAATTCTGCCGCAACTGCACTTCAGAACGACGGCGACGGGGACGTTAGCCAATACGTACTTCTTTTGGAGTCTATATTCTGCCGTGTGATTTTACTTAACCGAAGACGTCCAGGTGAACTGCAAAGACTGACACTGGACAATTATCAAATATTGGAGAAAAGCGATTCCAGCTCAAATTATGAAGAGTTCTCCGAGGTTGTTTCTCCAACTGAACAAATTCTACTCAAAAGATTTAAAAGGATAGTAATAAGAGGTAAAAGGGGACGAGGAGTACCGGTTCTTTTTAGTCCCGACATTCAAGGACACATAAATATTTTAATTAAAATACGCAACAAATTTGTTAGTGAAAAAAACCCATTCCTATTCGGTAATGCTAAATCAAATGAACCTATATGTGGTTATAAGGTTCTGAAGAAATTCGCACTGGCATCTGGGGCAAAGAACCCATCAGCTATTACAGCAACTAGACTCCGGAAGCATTTGGCTACTCTCACACAATTATTTGATATGTGTGAGAATGATTTGGAGCAGCTGGCTAGTTTTATGGGACATACCATTGGCGTACATCGGGAAAACTATCGTTTACCAAATGATGTATACCAAACAGCCAAGATTTCAAAACTTCTGCTTTTAATGGAAAAAGGACAAGCTGCTCAGTTTAAAGGAAAAGCCCTGAATGATATTAATTTAAATTTGGAAGAAGACTTGATGCTTGCTAACGAAGAACAAAGCGAACGTTGTGAATCGCCATCTTTGCATTCCGACGTTCCAGAACCGTACAGTTCAAAAATTCCAGAGAAGAAAAATGAATATCTTCCTAAGAAAAATAAACGAGTACTCATTAAGTGGACCGATGAACAGAAAAAAATTGTTATAAATTTTTTTGCAAATCATATAAAAAACAGAAAACCACCGAAACGAAATGAATGCGAGGAATTGAAAAGGCTCCATACCGAAATATTCTCGAATAAAGATTGGCCGAAAATTAAAGTATTCGTCCAAAACCAGTATCATAAATATAATAACAAATGAAGGAATTTTGTTTTACTTTTCAAGGGTTCCTATGAGAACAGATTCTGATTTTATTTTTGTAAGTGTTGTATAACTATTTTCTACACCTTACTTTTGCCTGTTCTTATTTAAGAATAATAAAGTGTATTCTATGTAACAAGGTATTTTTCTACATCCAGCATTTTCATTCATAAAAACTTAATGCACTACCCCTTGTATAATGTAATTTGTAAAACTTATCATGTGGTTATATCTGTTATTCATTTCGCTTTGCCTGGCTTCATACTAAAAGCACATGTAACGTCGTAGGAAATATAGGAAAAAATGAAACACAGTGTGTCCCCAGAAAAAAAACTTTATTCTTCGTTTGATCCATTTTATTGTCAAAATTAGCTTTCAAAAAGCATATAATTTTATTTTGATAACCGCCATGTGATAAAACTCCAAACGCCATCTACTGGTAAGACATTTTCTGATTCTTTATTAACAACTTTTTATTTACAATTTTATATTACAACAAGGGCACTTACCTGCTTCATGTCCATTTGATTTGAAGTTAAAACAAAATCCTTTGTACCTCTTCTTAGGTGTCCGATGTCTTCTTCCTTATGGGGTTATTACTGATAGTCCACATATGGCTCTTGCGAAGCGTTTTTTCCTGAACACCTTTCTTAGATATTGACTGCTAGAAATCGAGTTCAGCAGACCGAGCGCTGAACTTATTTGTAGGTACACTAGCCCGCTGACTTGAAAAATTTGTTTTTACGGGCCCCTTTCACTAAGATTCTTGGCCCCACACTTTGGACCAGCGAAGAAGCACTCACAGAATCCTTCTGTGTTGTCGACGTCCATTAGTACTAAGAATGTATTTTCTTCTCCGGAGTATAGCAGGCTTTATTTAAACACTCTTATGCTGTCCATTTTTCTTGAATCCCCTTGTTTTATACACTCAACCAGATGCCAATCTGATTTCTCTTGTAGAATGGTTATACTAGAACTTGTTGTTACCATTCTGTCATTCATAGAGAAAATAGTTACTGGAATGAATAGATGACTTGGACAAACATATTTACTGACAGATTTGGCAACGTCTCCGGACGCTAGGTAATCCTTAGAGTGAATTTAAAATATATAAATAGGACGCCCAGTCACGGAAATTTAAAAGTTTTGCGTATATTTGGGACGCTCAGTGAGTGTTACAGTGAAAGGAAGCTGAGAAGTCCGTGATGTAAAAAACGATTTTTTCTATGTTTCTGAACAAAACTCTATTGCTTTTCAACACCAACTGCTGTCATATTTTGAAAAATATTCAGCCTATAAAATGCACATACCTTCAGAATTTATAGTGGACGCTCAGATATTGTTTCTTGAAAGGACGCCCGAAAGATAGCGGGATGTATATATATACATATATATATATATATATATATATATATCAAATAAAGACATTGAAACTCCAATAGAGCTGTTAAATAATGATATGACAAACGTAATAAATTGGTTAAATGTAAATAAACTTAAACTAAACACAAACAAGGCAAAATATATGCTAATAGGAAAATCTTTAGATCAAAATACGATAAAACTTACAATTAATCAAGAAAAAATTGTGTCAATCGAATCATTCAAATATTTGGGCATATACATAGACAGTAAGTTAAACTTTGAAGGGCACTATGAATATATTATTTCAAAAATATCCAAGAAAATAAATTATATAGAATTTCGCATAGTTTATTCTGAAAACAATGTGTACAACACTATCATTCTTCCTCATTTGTTACATTGTTCGACTATTTTGCTCACTGCAAATGTAACTGTATTTTCAAAATAACAAATATTACAAAATAAAGCTATGAGAATCATCTTAAATAAAAATAAATATACTAGAATAAATTTTATGCTGAAAGAACTACAATGGTTAAATATCAAAAATTTCATAGCCTACTTGGTTTTCATTTTCATATTGTAGGTAAAAAATCATCTTCTACCAAATCACTTAGAAAATTTTATTATATTGAACAGTGAGTGCCACAATTATTCTACTAAAGGAAGTATAGACCTTCATCTACAAAACTGCAGTAGCAATATAACGAGCAAGTCAGTATTTCAAAAGGAATTGTACGAATTTAATAAATTAAATAATGATATCAAGATGTGTGTCAGTTTAAAAATGTGCAAAGGGAAATTCAAAAAATATCTCATGGAAAACCAGAATTCATAGTAGTGAAATTTTGTATAAAAATTTGTAGTCTTGAAGACATAATATATTTTGTGATGTTTTGTGTAATATGGATATTATGGACATTGTAGCATTAATGCTAAATAAA